ACTATATATTCAGAATAGTATTTTCTGTTTTATCCCCTCATACAGAACAGAAATATCATTATTTATATTTCTACCATTTCTATATACTGTACTAATGTAGAGATAAATGATCCAGTAACCCAGAACTCCTTGTTTTAAAAGGAGGCTGGATAGCCATCTGTCTTGGATGGTTTAGACACACTTCCTGAATCTTGGCAGGGGGTCAGATTAGATGACACTTGTGGTTCCTTCTAATTCTAGGAAGGCTAAGTCATACTCCTTCTGACTCAACCAGAGTGCAAGGCACATTGCCTTCAACAGACTAGTGAAGCATTGTGTACTGTACAGTAGATACTGTTGTATTTTTCTTTCTCTCTGAAAAGTGCCTAAAATCTGTGCCAGGGGTCCCAAAGCACACAAATCAGAATCTCTGTTGAAGACTTGCCTTTGGAGAACAGGTTTTCATAAAGTAATATACAAATTAGAACACGGCAAAAATAACAACAACAAAACCCAACACAAAAAAATAGGATCAACAATCTTCACCTAATGCTGAAATGAAAACTAACAACCTCAGTGGTCCACTAAGTTACCACTAGCAAAAACACTATTCTTGTGATAATTCTAGTTGAACAAGAAGCAGGAAGTACTAGAAATCTGACAAATAAGCTTGTTCTCTAAGACCAACGTTTCAAGCCCAATTTTATAGACTCAATAGGTGAAAACATACAATCCAGTTTTTATATGTGAACCAAACTGCCACTGTTTTGAGGGTCACCCATCAATTGTTTAAAAAGTACTTAATTTGTTGCCTATATTTCTAGAGTAGGATTTGATTATTCTTATTTGTATAATATAAGCTGTTCATTGTCAGAATTAGTTCCAATTCTTTTTTAATGGTGTACAACTTCACACAAAGCAGTTGTTCTCACAAGCCAGAAAAGCAGCACAGTGCAGAAGAGTATTACATGAAATATTAAAGACTAATTAATTGTTTCATGATAGAGATAAATCTGGAGCTCTCCATAGAAGTTTCTAACCCTACATTTTATTTTAAAAGGTAACTAAAATATTTTCATCTGAAAATATCTGTTTCAGATTCTATTTCTCCCCTACTACTGTTAAATATACTATTAAAGCCATAAGTACATGGAAAGAGGTATTTTTACACAGCTTTAGGTGTTAGTATTTTATCAGCTATAACAGTGACAAATACAGAATCCTGACAACTAGAAAATAAGGTCCTGGTTTTGAGAGATGTTCAGTATCTTCTCAGATGTGCTGATTAGAACTATAGGGAAAATAGTGATTCCATTGCCCACAGAATTGGAAAATTTGAAATGAATTCAATTTGGAATGAAAACCAAATATTTTGAAAGACTTTGAAGTGGAATAAAGCCCTACGTCTGGGGCAGTCCACCTGGCAGCTTTTCCATAGCTATGGCCTGGAAACTAGGAAGTTGGTGCTCCCAGGGCCTATGATCTCCCAGTTTCCCATTATCCTGCTTGTTGGGTTGAAGGGGAGCCAGAACTGTAAGAACCCAGCTGTACCAGGGGCCACAGAGCTTTGGCATTGTGGCTCTTAGGATTTTCAGGCTCCTTGTCAGCATATTATGCTGGCTGCTAAAGACCCAGGAGCCAGGTAGCCTGGGCTCCTAGCAGATGGCTTGCTAAGGAGCCAGGCAGGTAATCTGGCAGGAAACCAGGCAGATTTCTGATAGAAAATAATCTGGGTTCCATCTAAACATTGCTGAAATCAAATTGTCTTCCTGAAAGATTTCACACTCTCAGCAATTGCTGACAGGAAAAAATCATTCCATTGGAGAATTTCTGACCAGCTTTTGCGCTGCTATCCTTAGCTTCCAATGGGCGAGGTGGGGACACTACAGCTCAGGGAGGTACAAAATTTAACTAATTCACTTCAATTGTATATTTTTTATATTCTGTTTCTGATTTTGCATATAGGATGGTGACTTATGTAGAATTTGCATGTCATTTCACTTTTCACCTGGATCCTGCCATAGGAGTAACTGGAGGTGGGAGGGTGCTGGTTTAAGTGTGCTGCAGAGTGTTCCTTTCCAGGCCATTATGTGTCTAGATGGATATGCTACTCCAGGGTGATTTATGCTGATGTGAAAGGAGAATGCATCAGGGTTACAGTGAGATGCAAACTTAAGTGTTATAAATTAGACAGCAACAGTATCTTTATCATGGGACATTTGGAAGTGTGCACTATTGAGTTGATCCAGTGCCTAATCCAAGCAATGAGAGTTTTTCATAGATTTCAGTGGGTGCTAGATCTGACCTTATATGAAATCTAAGAAAAAGAATCTTTTATAGAGACAGGAAAAATTGTCCACTAGTTAAAATGCTACCCTGGGACTTAGGAGATTTGGGTTTAATTCCATTCTCCATTGCAGACTTCCAATGTGACCTTGAGCAAGTCATTTATTCGCTGTGCTTCAATTCTCCATCTGGACAGTGGGAATAATACCATTTCCCCACCTCATAGAAGTATTGTGAGGATAAAAAACATTAAAGACTGTCAAATACTAGGGCAAAGCAGTCATAGCACCCTAGTTATATATGTCATGGAGTCAATGAATTAGATTAATATATTTGAAATACCTTACTGCATACCATTAATTGACAGAGCACAAAATGGGACTTTTTGGTAGTATGTTAGCTATATAATGTAATACTTCACTGTCGTTCATCATTGGGGATGGAATCCATGATCTTTGTTGATGATGCAATAGTAGCCTATTAGCCTACATTCTAATTAGTCAGTCTCTCCAGTTGAAGTGTTCCATTGTGGTTAAATAATTTAAAAAAGTAATTGGAGCAAGGGGACTGGATCCTCAAGCTCTCTCTCTCTCTCTCACTTGCTCACACATGTGTGTGCATACACACACTTTAAGCTGTTCCACTGTGGATAAATAATGAAAGAATCATTGGGTCAGAGAGAGAGAGAGAAAGAGAGCAAGCACGTAACATGGAAATCACCTGCTCTCTTGCTGGTTAGAGAATTCAAATGGGTGGAAGATCTCTGCTCCAGTTACTTTTGAAATTATTTATTGCAGTGGAACAACTTCAAAAGGAGAGACTGAGAAAGCCCCTTGTTAGATCCTCTTCCCAACCTTTAGTGTGAGCCTCTATGTAGGGGCATAAACCACCAGGTGAGGTCTGAGAACTTACTGAATTGGGCCCCACTGACAAGTTATATGGAGAATCAACTATCTTCCCCAGGTCACACAGCTCTGGGACTTAGGCATCCAGATATCAGGTATGGGGCTTCAGTGCACATGTGCAGAGGCAAAAACACAGGCACTTAGGGAACTTTCCTGCAAGAAATTAGTTGCTAGGAGAGTTTAGGAACCAACAGGATTTGGGGGGGAGCTAAGCAGGAGCTTTCTGAATATCAGTGGGCCTGATTCTGGGATTTGGGCATTTAAAGTTGAGCCTTTTATTAATCTAGCCCTAAGTCTATGCCACTTTTATACCAAAGGTGTTGGATAAGTGATATCAAGATACCATAATGTAAATTATCTCTCGATTCAACTAAATTAGTGTCTAGTGCCGGGTTTCTGAAAATTCACTGCCCTGCAACACCCTTCTGAAAACAAAAATTACTAAACAACCTCACAAAGGGAGACTGAAGCCTGAGCCCCACAACCTCAGACAGAGGGATCAAAGCCTCCCGTAACCATGTTGCACTGGGGGAAGTCAAAGCTTGAGGGCTTCAGCCCTGGGTGGTGAGGCTTGGACTTTGACTTCAGTTCTGAGCCACAGCAAGTTTAATGCCAGCCTTGGAGACCCCATTAAAAAGGGGTTGCAATGCACTTTGGAGTCCTGACTCACAGTTTGAGAACCACTGGTCTAGTGGCTCTACCTGAAAATCTCCAAGAAGAAAACAATGATTACTTAAAACAAAGCAACTACAGAAAATGTAAAGCCATGCAGGCAATGCAGTTGATCTTCAACAAATATCAAGAAGCATCCCATAAGGTTACAAGACTATTAGCTAAGGATGTGGAGAACAAAATCTTGGTCCAAGATTAAAGAGCATGTAGAGCAATTGACAGAGAAATGGAAAAAAAATACCTTAACATAAACTGTAATAAACTTGTGGTAAGTTTGTTCAGGTAAACAAAAGGTTCCCTCTAAGACCCAAGTACATAGTTGGCACATCATTTATAACAAATAACAATAGCAGCACCAGGCAGTATTTCAGACATTTCAAATGACTACATGTAAATATTACAGACCAGATCCTTAGCTAACCTAAACTAGCAAAATTCCACTGAAGTCAATGGATACATTAATTCACACCAGCTCTCTCTCTCTTCCTCCCATATATATGTAAATATATAAATATATAACTCAGGCATAACCTGAAGGTGCCATTCTTAGAGTGAGAGGATAGTTTAATTTCCATTGTCATCTATCTCCTGTTCTTTCTGCTGATAATGTCAACAATTAATGTCAATTCAGATTGGTATTCTTTATATTAGTAGTTGGTCACTGGGAAACAACCTGGCACTCATTGCACTTATTTCATATAGGCAAAACTGCCATCAAATAAATAGTTATGACTTTTGGTCAGGGAAGAATTCAGACTAGTGACATAGAGTTGAAAGTATCTGCATCTCATTAATAATTGTCTGAACTATCTAATCTCGTACATCTATACAGTTTATATCCAAGAGATTCCTATATAGAACATATCATAAAGATGGCTTTATACTCCCAAGTAATATAAAAAAGTGCTGTAGTATTTTTAATATTATCCATTTGATTTTATAACATGCTAGCATCTTTATGGAGATTATGTCTAGAATTGTCTGGCTTATGCCATCTGAAAAATAAGTCAAAAAGGTACCTGGTACATCAGTGAAGGTCTCTCCAAGGACAGATATATGAAATGGTAGGTCCATCTCTCTAAGTTTCAGCAATACTTTAAAGAAACTCTCAGGGTCCTTATCATGTTCCCTTGAAATAAACAAACAGAATTTATCTTGAATTAGATGAAGTTTACGTGGAGGAAACTTTTTACCTAATCAGAGTAACATTTCTCTTAACCTTGTTTTTTGGTATGGGGGACCTCAGTCTTCTAAGCAGGACTTCCTTCTCTGCTCACCCACCATGTGTGGTGGCTTATACCACATGGACTTTTATTTTTCTCAGTCTAGGATTCAATACCCAAATCAACCTTGTGAAAGTCTTAAGCCTTCTCCCCGGCCTACCTTTCTGAAGGCACGTGTTCACTCTTTAACTTACCAACTTACATAGCACATAGATTTTAAATATTTATTTCACTCAGCTAAAAGCATATCTCTGCCACCCCCAACAGAAAACACTGAGAACACCCTCATTTTTTAGTCTGGGAGCATGTGTATTCCATGGGCAAGTTAATGTTTGATTCATAAAAATCTACAGAATCATATTTTAGTAGTATCACCCTTTCACTGTGATGGAGCCTCGCTCTGTGCTTGTAGCTACATGTCCTCTGGTTGGTGAAAATGTTGATAATACAGTGTCCTCAGAAATGGATCAAATTGAGTAGCATTCAAAAGCCCTTTCTTCCATAAACACAATGCTATTAAGCAAGACCATTTAGAACAATTATGTAGCTATGTATTTGAGACAAATGTTTAAAGTCAGGTTTTTAAACTTATACTTTAAACATGGGCATGTCAAACATGCAGACCTCACAAAGTAAAATTCTGGCTATTGATTAACAGAACATAATACAGGCAGTCCCCGGGTTACGTACAAGATAGGGACTGTAGGTTTGTTCTTAAGTTGAATTTGTATATAAGTCGGAACTGGCATCCAGATTCAGCCACTGCTGAAACTGACCAGCGGCTGACTACAAGAAGTCCGAGGCAGAGTTGCTCTGCCCTGGGCTTCCTGGAATCAGCCGCTGATCAGTTTCAACAGCGGCTGAATCTGGATGCCTGGGACAGAGCAGCTGGGGTGCTGCTGGGTAGGTCCCCGCAGCGCCGCACCTCAGCGCTGCAGGGACCAACCCGGCAGTACCCCAGCAGCTCTACCCCAGGCGTCCTGATTCAGCCGCTGACCAGCAGCTGACTACAGGAAGCCTGAGGCAGAGTCCCGCTGCCCGCGTCCTCCGGGGCGAGAAAAGCCCCGTTCGTAACTGCGGATCCGACATAAGTCGGATCCACGTAACTCGGGGACTGCCTGTACCTGATTAATGATTTTAATGATAAAGATTATTATATATGGAAGGAGTGCTTCAAGTTCTTCATAGTAAAACAATCTCTGTTTGAATACGATGGAAAAAGGCATATATGCCGGGCAAAAAAAAAAAGAAAATTAAAACATAGTTAGCATGGCCTTCCTAAGCAAGAACCCAGTGACAGTGACCTGTATGTAATGCCAGCAGAGTCCTTCCAGTGTAGCAGTCATTGATGGGTAAGGTATAAGCTCCTGACAATCCAGAAACTGTTAACTCCTGCAAAGATTTGTCTGACTAATTTCATTATGAAGCTACAGAGAATATACTGGATCTATGATGTAGTCTACCTCATTTGGCAGATATGTAGAGGAATCGATTACAAATAATATCAGAAAGAAGAGACTCCATTTTATATTCACCTTTACAATATAAAATCATTGACTTCACAAACATTTCCAATGTCACATTAAGGAAACTACTGTCTCATACTGAAATGACGGATTAGTTAATTCCTTGAAGAAAAAAAACCCACTGCAGCATGCAAGGAATTGTTCAAAGAATTTTGTTGTTGCATTGTGTAACAAAACTGCTGGCTTGCACTGTTCAAGGGACTTTCTTCTTAAGTTAGGTCTACACTAGACCTGGAAGCTCGGTTTACGGTACGCAACTCCAGCTATGCAGAATACTTACCGAAAGCCAAGCTTGGCAGTGTCTCTACAGTGGGAGGACGATGGGAGTAAATGCTTCCGTTGGCTTTCCTTACTCCTGGCAAAAGCAGGAGTATTGGGGTGCCCTCTGAGTTTGATTTAGTGAATCTTAAGTAGACTCGCCAAATCAAAGTCCAGAAGATTGACTGCGGCAGTGTCAACCTTCCATGGAATGAAGACATAGCCTTAGTTCCCATAAGGAGGCTGAGACTAAAATTATCCTGCATACTGTCAGTGCCACAAACAGAGGTGCTACTAAACTGGAGTTTTGCACAAGATACAAATGTTTTAGTGCTCACTGTGAGGTGCTACCCAAGACATCTGCAAGATTCTGTGCTTGCTGTTGGGCAACAGAATTGCTATATATCCCTCAGATATTTGCTATATATCCCTCAATTATTTTCTGATCACTCATACTATTAAAAGCGATGGCACTGCCCGGTTTCAAGACTCTATCAGGATGTGACATCAATAGTAAGACCAAACTAACTTTCTGGAAGACTTTTGATTTAGCCTCCCAAGACACTCTTTGCTCTGAAGATGTTTGGAATGGTTGAGAGAGTCACTGTTGAAGTCTAAATGTACAGGATATGTTCAGATGCCAAGTTTATGTTCAGACACCATTATTATGCAATTGCAAAGCTACTTTGGATGTTTTCCAAAAAGCAGACAAAGAAAAATAACCACTGACAATGTATGCATTTATACCTGCTATCAAGAAGGCAAATTATCAAACAATGGAATGGACCCAGAATGATCCAGCAAATCCAAAACTACACTCTCCTGTCAGGCCTGGATGGATGTTGGAGGATGGATGGCTCACACTACTTATGTGTGAAATACTATACATTCCAAAATCAATCATTCAGCTAATTAAATGCTTGCGTGCAAAGACAAGAGGCTCACCAGCCTGCAAATGTTTGGCCAACAGACTGCCTTGTACAGAGAAGTGCAAGTGTAGCACAAGCATCAGTGTGACAGCATATCTAGCTGTTCTGCCCTAAACAGAAATAGCTCTGCTAATGACTGGTGAATAAATGTGCTACATGTCAAAGCTAACTACACTAAGATTACTAAAGACCAATGACTTTTTTATGTACGCAATGCGTCTATGTTTGAAAAACAATTTTAAAATGATGATTTTTAAGCATTTCTCTCACAAATATATTTAGATAATTGTTCTTGATTTGTCACATTTGGTACCATTGTGTTTGAGGGAGAAATGACTTTTGAATGATACCCAACTCAACACATTTCTGATGACATTGTGTTATCAACATTTCCACCTGCTAGAGGATATGGAGATGGGAGCCAGCCAGTCCTCACTGCTGCACCGCAGAAGGTGACATCATTGAAATTATGAGTCTGTGGATTTTTATGAATAAAATATCAAGTCCCTTACCTTTCTATCACTAACTTGCCCATGGAATGAGATTTTGCTCCATTGTGCTCTTAGGCTATTTACACTGTCCCTGGCAATAGCCCAACAAATGTTTATGCAGAAATAATATGTTAGTCAAATGCATTTGCTAAAAAATTCCCAAATGGAATTTTATATGTAGATATGAAGAATATAAAAATTCTGATTTTTAGTGCAATGGATATAGAAGAAAGAACACATCTTATGTGGAGATTTTTTGCACCATCAGGCCTTTAAATTATTAATTGGGGGAAGGTAGTTTTACTTTCATGATGGAAAAAAATAATCTGTAAACACTAGTAATTTCATCTGGAGATAACTAAAGATTTGGGATTATTTTTTGACAGTCAATGTCTTAAAAAAAACACTGGATTGGTTATTTTAAAAGAAGGACTAGCATCTAGCTTTCATCTTCTTTATTATGACAGAATGAGAGGTTAAAAGGCACCATAAATGAATAAAAATTTCCATAATTTGGTAAATTACATGAAAATGGAAGGAGTTATTTTCTCTATTCTAAGGTGTGATTATCATAATATTTGTTGAATTTAATTACTCTGCTTTATATTATTATACTTTGGACAGATGTGGACCAGATGTCTTTAAAATACTTTTGTTTTTAATTTATTATTTAGAAACTTCATCTGTTTTCCTTCTTGTGTTACAGCAAAATTGACAATTTAGAAGTAGTGGTGTGTTTCTTCCACAGACTAATTATGTACAATGAATCTGTAGGTTTATCACATAGATATATGAAACATTAATAATTATATAATTCAGGATAATGCAAGCTAAATGACATCTTCAGCTCTATATGTGTTAATTTCTAATTCAGTCAATACTTTTTATTTACGGATTTATAACAAATGAATCTTTTTAATGTTTAAAATAGTACTTTTCTGGGCTTAAAATCTTCAGAAATGTTGAGGTCTAGAAAATTAGATTACCCTCCCTCCCCAATAATTACTTTAAGAAGTCGTATATCCCCCAGCTTTGTTTTGTTCCCAATAATAAAGTGGAATGCAACAGCATAAGCCTTGTAATTTGTTTCACATCTGTGGACCAGGAGTTTTCATGAAGATGGCTCCAATAAACTAAAGTGGATGAGAATACTGACTCAGAGAAAATTCAACAAGTTTTTAAATTATAAAGACCCAGGACTGAAATACCAACAAGCTGCTTGTATCCATACGAATAAAATAATTATCCATTTCTGGAAGGATAGCTGATGGGTAAGAATGTACTTCTAGTGTTCTCAATTCTCTTCAAAAAATCCATCTGAAATGAATGGAACCATTAATTCCTTTATAATTAAGGAACTAGGCATCTAAGTGGCCATATATTTTAAGAAGAGCTGGAAAATCTCAACACAAAGCAAGGGACCAGACTTGTCAGGAGTAAAAGTGGAAATGATAAACTGTGCAAGGAAAATAATCTGTGTTAAATATTATTCTAAGAGTTATGAATATTCACTGATGGCTTCAATCTCCCACTGAAGCAGGCAGGTACAGGCATTTAGTACTTTATACTATTATTGGCAGTGATGCACTGATGTACATAATGTGTGTTTATCACCTACAGATGCTGAGCAACTGTAAGTCAGTTGAAGTCCTTAGGACCTCTTAGATTCAGGCTTGAAATATATACTCAAGTGTCATATGTC